ATACTAGAAAACCTGCGAGAGAAAGAGTTATGATCGATATATGTTAATTTTATTTTTTTAAAAATGACGGATTGGAATAATTTTTTAAAAAGAAATAGAGAATATATCAAAGCTAAGAATAAAATAAAGACCCAAGTTGAAAATAACAGATAACAACAACTCGGATTAACGGAAAATCTACAGACTCTGATTTCAACCCATATTAAAAAGTCAATAAGATATTAAAAAGAGACTCGTTATAGAACCCACCCCTCATATAGAACCCAAACCGATTGAATATAATGGTATTATAATTAGGACATTAGATGATATAAAACGTCTTTTTTCAAACCCTGACCCAGATTTACCAAAAAGCATTTCACCAATCATTGATGAAGTGGGGTTATTGTTTAATGGTTTTAGAATAAGATTTAGCGGAAATTCACCACAATTCAAAATCGACACAAAAGACTTTATATTTACATTAACATTAATAGATTTAATGAATGGCGAGGATGTTGAAATTGCCGATTACAAGGATTTAGTAGCATACTCAAAATTTCTACATGCGATCAGAAAGTCAGGACCAGAAACAAGAAGATTGAAAGAAGTTGATTTATATATAACAAAAGTTATTGAGGAAGAGGATGTAGATGATTATGCAGAAGATTATCCAATCATACAAGAAATAGACGAATTCGATGATATGGTGGCATCTTGACAAGGTATAACTTTTTATCCGACAACAATAAAGAATTGCTTAATAGATTAGAAATAATATTAGCGGCCATGAAGGAAGGTCATCGATCGGACAGACAATACAACGAAGTCAATGGCATATTAAAACGGCTTTTGGAGAAAGAAATCATCACTAAAAAAGACTATATAAACGTCATTAAAAATGTCCAATAAAGAACAATTGTTCGTTATCACGTCGAATAAATCAGACATCAAATTGTCTCTAGACTGCGAGTATGAACTCTATCGCAATAAACAGTACGAACTGGGATTAAAGTATTTCTCCGTTTACAATTCCATTAGAAACATCAACGAAAAAAACAATCAACTAAAAATATCGACGGATAACGGAGTTACGTTCAAAACCATAAGCTTACTAGCGGGAAGCTACGAATACGTGGCCATGAACGATTACCTATCCGAATACGCAGGAAGCGTGAACGGCAAAAACAATATCA